CAGACAATAAGCAAAATGAATACACCAAATATATAGTACCTTAGAAGGTGACAAATGTTATGTAGAGAAAAAAATAAATCAAAGGAGGGGATTCAGTGTGTATGTGTGGAAGAGGGTTAATTTTTAGAATGTAGGGATTTTAAATATCGTAGCCACGGAATACTACCAGATGAGTACTGCAGAGATCCAGCTTGAACTGGCTGCAACCATCTTGGTTGTAATGCCATGTTGCCCAGCAGGTGACCCTGGCATGCCTCCCAAAAGCTTGAGGATAAACAAAGTTATTGACACAGTCAGCTGAGCATTTCATGTCACAGAGACTGTTTCTTGACTGACATTTGACATGTTAATAGTTTTTGAGAAAGCCCAGGTAAACTGCAATTGACTGAGGTCATTTGTCCGGCTTAGTGTATAAACCTCTTCTTCCTGCTTGGGGTGCAGGGATACTCCCATTTTGCTGCTGCTGAAGACATGTTTCTGTCCTAAATCCTTGATACAGCTTCTCTGTGCCATCCCTTTTCAGCTGGTTCTAAACACTGAGTTTTTTCTGAAACAAATACCAATTGCTTTCATCTTCCTTGTAGTTTTAGCTATTTATGAAGCTTTTTAGTTTTATTACTTCATTTTGATCTTTTTTTTTTTCTTTTGTGGGGCCTGGTGGGTACTGAGATTGAACCCAGGGGCACTTAAAACCACTAAACCACATCCCCAGCCTTATTTTGTATTTTATTTAGAGACAGGATCTCACTGAGTTGCTTAAGGCCTTTCTAAATTGCTGAGGCTGGCTTTGAACTGATCCTCCTGCCTCAGCCTCCAAAGCCTCTGGGATCCTGGGAGTGTGTCTCCATGCCTGGCTTCATTTCGATCTCAAAAACAATCTTGTGAGGAGGCAGGAAAAATTAGTCTCCCACACCTGTTACTCTATGCATTAGTTTTCTAGGGCTGCCATAAGGAAGGACCACAACTGTGTGGCTCAAACGGCCAAAATACTTTTTCTCACAGTTCGGGCGGCCAGAAATCTGAGATCAAAATATGGGCAGAGTTGGTTCCTTCTGGGGGCCATGAAGCAGGGGTCTGTTTCAGTCCTCTCTCCTTGGCTTGTAGAAGGACATCCTCCTTTTGTGTTTTCACAAGGTCTTCCCTCTATATGTGTCTGTGTCCAGAATTTCCTCTGGACACCAGTTCATGGGTGGGATTAAGGCCCACCCATGTGGCCTCATTTTAACTTGACTTACCTCGGTAAAGACCCTGTCTCCAAATAAGGCCACATTCTGAGGCCTTGGAGATCAGGACTTCAACATAGGAATTTGTGGAGGTAAGGGACACCATGAAACCCATAGCATTCCCCAGATTACTTTGATCTTGCCAACTTGCGCTGGCTGACTCTGTGAGTCTGGAGGTGTGAGATGACTTAGATGACCTACTAGCACCTGAGTGACTCTCAATGCACAGACCTGCTTATCTTTGAGACTATCAAGGAAACAAGGGCCTTTCCATGATGGGTCCCACCTGACCTATTTCAAAAGCAAAATATTTTGATTTTTTTTTTAAGAAGGACTCAACAAATCTAGGTCAAGTTAGACCTTGATTCCAGCATTAGCTACCTCTTGAACACCGAATAACCCTGAAAAGTCCTATAGGCTTGCTTCAAGGATGAGCAGGTTCTTCAGGAAGTAAAAAAAATTGAACAAAAACTACAAGAGAGGAAGGAAAAACTTAGAAGGAATATGAACTCAAGGAGAAGGTTGAGAAAGGAAGGGTAAAAAAAGGTCAGAATTGCAAGTTATCTTAGGTCTCCTCAAAAATTAAATTACACCTGCTCTATGGAAACTGTAGTCATTCATGCAAATGTGTTTTGAGAGGTTAAAAGTGTTATGCAATTGTGAAGTGTTCTTTTCTAAGGTAGAAATAACTGTTTCTTGTCCTTTTAGCTAATTTTTAAGCCACAAATAAAATATAACTCTTCTCAGTTGCCAATATCCATCTTCATTTCTTTGAGGAGACAGCTTTTTATTTTTTTTTAAATTAGCAAGTGTGAAAAACTTCAAAGACACAGTAACCTCTGTGCTAACCTAACTAGGGTACAGGCTGGAATGTTTAGCTTTTGCCTGAGGTCTTGGTGTGACCCTTATTATAGAAAGCATTGGAATAAATATATTTGGTTCTCAGATCTCATTTCATATTGTCTAAAATATCTGAGAATAACAATTCAGCTGTATTCCAGGGCCTTCTAATCGGTGATTCTTAAATTTTACCTTGAAACTGATCCAAGAAAGCAATTCTTCCCTGTAGTCCTTTGGCATAAACTATTAACAAATCCATACACCTTCATTTTTGCATACATCAAAACCTACTTACTGGGGCTGGAGCTGTGGCTCAGTGGTAGTGCACTTGCCTGGCATGTGAGAGGCACTGGGTTCAATTCTCAGCACCGCATATAAATAAATAAAAGGTCATCAACAACTAAAACAACAACAAAACTACTTACTGATAGCTTGCTATATGAACTATTGCTACAGATTAATCCAATTTGGAATTCATATGCAAAAATCATTGAGCTACCAAATTTTGAGGATTCTGCTTTAGAATTCCACCAGGAAGTTTGGCTTCTGGGAAAATGGGACCTAGCATAAAGCACAGAGGGAGCCTTCCCCATCCCTATACATTGTCTGGACAAGTGCTTTGTCATTAGTCTATCATCAGTGTCATGTGTGGGTCAAGATTTCCAATTGCTGCCATTCTTGCTTTTAATTATAATTTACTGTTAATTTAGCTCCATCATTATCAAAGTAGTCAAGACTTGTTTGAGCCTTAAAGTGACTAGTGATACATATTTAAACTATATTTTTGGTCTTTAACCTTCTAGTTAAAGACAATTATGCATTCAAATTGATTATGAATCATTTACACCTTAATTGCTAAAGCACATGTATACCTGATCCCCCCAAATACACTTGGGTCCCTTAATAGTATCCTTAAGTTATTTTTCCACATGTATACAAGAAAGGATGAGGTAGGTTGACTGTGGGTTATTTTGCCCAGCTTAAAGTGGTATAGAGAAGGAAAAAGAAGAGGTTAAAAACATTTTTAGACTCTAGGAATGAGGAATGGAATGTGCTGCACGCCCCTGCAAAACACTTGCAAATGGCGTGTGCACGTGCATTTCACTGGGGAGATGCTTGGGAAATAAATATTCATACTTACCTTTTTCCAACTCCTACTCAGCTGCAGGCTCGCTGTAGTTGCAGCAGGAAGTAATGGAGGCGGCTGATGAAGCAACAGAAGTATCAGAAGTGGAGGGGAGGCGGGGCTCTTCAGAGCAAAGGTTTCAGGGCAACTGCAAATATGAGTGACAGAGTCACAAACAATGAGCTCTGCAAATAGTGGCCACAGCTCACAGCAATAAGTTTCTATGTAGGGTTGTAAAATCTGCTGGTTGCGTTTCAACATATGGCCAGTGCCCATAAAAGCTGGCAGTGACTCTGGGAGATTGGCCATGTTGGGGTTTCCATGCGCATACAAATAGTCTGGAGCCCTCCCAAACCTGGCCTGGGCTTATTCAAAGAACAATTTAGTTTCGAGTAGTTCCTCCCCCTGTGGATCCCACTGAATTTTATTTGTATTTGTTATAGCATTACATTCTTTTTTTTTTTTTTTTTTTTTGATACCAGGGATGGAACCCAGGGGTCTTAACCACTGAGCCACATCCCCAGCCTTTTTTTATATTTTATTTAAAGACAGGGTCTTGCTGAGTTGCTGAAGCTGCTTTTCAACTCATAATTTTCCAGCCTCAACCTCCTGGGCTGCTGGGGTTATAGGCATGTGCCACCACACTCAGCTACATTATATTCTATCTTGCTTTATTGTTGTTTAAAGGTCTAACTTTCCTTGTGGACTTCAATTCTTTGGAGCAGGACCAATTGTAACCATCTTCAGGAGGAGACATAATGACAAACGCAGAACTGGAAGGGTTCAGAGAAACCAGGGGTGCACATTGACTCCCCTTTGCTGCCTGCGTGACTTTTGGACAAAGCTTTTCTTTGAACCTCAAATATTTTATAGGATTGTGGTGAGGATTAAAGGAGTTGATCAGGACACACTCTAAGTGCTGAAAAACCCAACTTAAACCTCTAATACACACACACACACACACACACACAAATGATTTGTAGAAGTATTACTGATTTATATTATAACTTAATCCAGAGAGTAGAATAAAATTGTCAAGTCTAGACAGTCAGATAGATGGGGTGGGGGGAGAATGACTGTCTTTTATCAACTGATGGAATGGGATGCCCTATGCAAGGCTATAGTGTCTGGGACCTAAATCAGCATAAACATAAACACCCACTTCTCTTTTCTTTTGGCTGCCCCAGTCCCTCTGTTCTTAGTGCCTGCTACCTCCTTCCTCAAGTGTCTGTGTCCCCCACACACCCAAAGTCACTTCTGAGACTGTTGAGAAACTCCAGCCAGAAGGGGCTGAAAGAACCCTGTCCTCTTGTCTCACTCCAGGACCAGGAGAGAAAATGTGCCTACATCCTAGAAATGGAAGGAAAATTCACAGAGAAGGCAGAAAGCTGTGGTAGAAAAGAAAGGAAGCAGACTGCTGAGAAGCCATCCAAAGGCCAATTCTCTTAGTGCAGAGAGATTATGAGCTGGGGCCCATGAACCCCCTTACAATTAGTGGCAGATTCAGAGAGGTGCCCACAGAATGGCAGGCAGAATGTCGTTTCCACCCCCTCCACCCCCACACCCACACACCCCATCACCCTCTCCCTTTCTCTCCTTTGCTATTTTCACAGTATCAGATCCCTGCAGGCAGCATTCCTTCCCAGGCCGGAGCTGCAGTACCAGGAGGCCCCAGTGGAGCTACTGAGGTGTATCAGTAGAAGGCAGACATTCAACCCAGGCTCAGATAAGGCCCAGTACGAGACTGCCAGTTTTCAATCCAGCAGCCTGTTTCCTGAGGCTTTCCTTTGAGTTAATGGCAGAGAGAATACTGTCTGGGGAAGGAGTTGTTGGTAGAACAGGGCTCTTCTGAGCCCTCCTTGGTCACCACAAGTGAGGCTCGGGCAATGGATTCAGTGCTGGTAGGAATCCTGTCCCTCAGATGGAAGGAAGTCAACACCTGGGCAAGGAGGGTGCTGAACCCATGTGTTTTTTGTTTGTTTGTTTTTTGTTTTTGTTTTTCACTGAAAGTATATTCCAATACGGTTGGAGGTGGAGAGAAGGAAGTAATGTCTGGACCCTAAGTTCTTGGCCATAGCTGGGAACCTTCTGGGAAGTCAATGATGGTTAAGGACACTCTTTCGTGCGGTTGTGATATTCAGGAAAGAAGAGATGTAGAATCTGAAGATCTGAATTTGAAGTCTCACTCAACAACTCAGTAAAGGATTGTGGTAAGTCACTTACCCCCTCTGTACCTCAGTTTCCTTATCTGAAAAAAAAATGAAGTTGATAATACTGCACAGGGTTATTGTCCAGATAAAGAAGCCAAGGCCTGTTCATGTACCATGCCATTTCTCTGAGACGTTCTTGGAGAAGCTGGAGAGAGCATTTGCTAAGAGTTCAGACTCTGGAATTTGAGAGTTGGGGTTCAAAATCCTATTATTGAATTGAGAATAGAGATACTTATGCATGAAATTATTATCGGCAAGAGTTGGGATAGGGATCATCTTCCATGGAGTTGAAGAATGAACACCACGAACACAGGGGTAAGCAAGTGAGCAGGAATTTTACTGAAAAGGAAAGTGAGAGAAAGACAGAATTCCCTGTCAGCATGCCTGGGAGGGCAAGAGTGTGGTTTAAGTCTTAGAGAACCCTTTCTTTTCTTTTAATATTTATGTTTTAGTTGGACACAATATCTTTATTTTATTTATTTATTTTTATGTGGTGCTGAGGATCGAACCCAGGGCCTCACACATGCTAGGCGAGCATTCTACCACTGAGCCACAACCCCAGCCCCAGCACCACTTCTTTTAAAGGCATGTAAGGAGAAGTTGATAAACTACATCTTGATTATTTTTTTTTTATTTTTAGTTGTAGATGGACACAATACCTTTATTTATTGATTGATTTTTAGTTGTAAATGGACATTATAGGCTATTGATTGAACATCTGAGCAGCCATCTTAAATGTTAACCATCATCTTCTTTCGCTTTCCTTTACTTCCTCTTACCCGAACTCCCCCTCCCCTACTAGTGACCTACCCCATGGTACCATAATCCTAAACCAATCTCAGAAGGCTGAGAGGTAGTCCCAGAAGGATACGATCCCTTTGGTTTGGAAAGCCCCATGGTGTCATCAACCTAAACCTGTCCCATGCTATTCTCCACCCTCCTAGCTCTGACACAAGCACCCCAGCCTGTCCCATAGCACCACAGCTACAACTCCAAACTCTACCCCACAAAACATGAACATCTCGGGGCCTCTCTCTCATATAGACAGATGGCCTTTATTTGTCAGCTCTGACAAATAAACCCTCCTGTGTATCCCTGCCTGGTCTCCGTCTTTCATTTCTCTTTCACCTGTCTCTCATTCCTTGTTTTCCCTTTATTTTGGTGCAAAAACCCGGTATCAGGTTCTCTGGTGTGCCCGCTCCACTCTTCGAGAGTTACTGAGTGTCCCCAGGCCCTGATCCGGATTCCATTGTGGGATCAAGCCCACCATTCTGCCAAATGCCCTCTCTGCATCTACCACCAGACATTTTAGGTAAGACCCCTGTCTCTGGTTGACCTAAATGACCTATGGATCCCAGGAAATGACCGTTGAACATCTGGCACTCCCAAGGTTACAATGTGGTCAGGGGCACCCCAGCTACAGTTGATCCCTACTGTCGACCGAATCTATAGGTGGTCTTTTATTTGGGTCCTGGGTTTTGAGGAAAAAGCACCAAGGGTGATTGGGAGTTGTTCATGGTGGGATGACCTCTCGGCCTTGGGTTAATCTCTATGGGCTTCTGCCCCTACTACATAGTCCTGGCTGGCGCCCAAGTGCCTCTACGGGATCCTGCCCTGACACTTAGCCAACCGTGGTGACGATCCCCTGATTGTAATTGTCCTCTTGACTGGGTGACACTAGAGACTGGGGGAAGGCCCACCTCTAAACTCATCTCTTATGTCTCACCATAGGTGGCTCCTCGTTCATTCCCTCCCATAGCCCCTTGGGCTGCCTCCTGGCTAACCTAGGGTCTCTCTCACCCTAGACACAAAGCCCCCAAAACTTAACCACTTGTGCAATCAGATCTGGCCTCAATATCCTTTGAATAATGATTCTAAATGGCCACTTAATGGCAACCCTATATTATCAGGGATCTTTCCAACTATTGTGAGTGTTCCAGAAAATGGAAAAAGATCCCCCTATCTTCAGGCCTTCTCTTTCTTCCTTCCAAATTATCCCTCTGCTCTTCCTGTTCTCCGACCCAGGTTCTGCTTGCTCTTAAACCTTCCCTTTTGGACCTCAGGACCCTCTCAAAACCCCACACTTTGACTTGCTAACAAACCCCCTCCCTAACGTTCTCCACCTTCTGCTCTGACTCTTCTGGGACCTCCCCACCTACTTTCAGTTCACCCGCTACTCACTCTTGCTCTCGAACAGCCCCCTCTACCCAGCCTGCACCTCTGCTTCCCTTTTGTGAAGTAGCAGGGTCAGAGGGAGTTGTCCAGGTACACGTCCCTCTCTACCTTAGTGACCTCTCCCAAATCGAAAGGAGGCTAGGGGCCTTCACCTCCGATCCTTCAGAGTACACTAAGGAATTCCAATTCCTAACCCAATAATACAATTTAACTTTTCATGATCCTATCCAACACTCTCCTACCTGAGGAATGCAGGCGAGTTTGGGAGCAGGGTTAGGGAACAGCAGTTTTCCCCAGCTCCTTCCAGACCTGTAAAATGTAAATGGAAGAAGCCTCCTACTATACTAAACCAAAAAGTAAATTATATATGGTACTTTACTAATTACATAGTAAAGTAATTAGTATCCAGTCATTTTTTCTAGGACTCTTTTTTTTTTCTTAAATTCTATATTTTTGAGCTCATAATTTTGGTCCTATACACCTAGGTTAATGTATTTCTGATCAGTCTTATTTTTTATTCAACTATGAACTTTTTAAACATCTGTAACATTGCATGGAGATTCACCTGTGAAAAGCTACAAGGCCTTTACTTTTGTATGTATGCACACTCTGTGTTGTCTGTCCGTATGTGTGTGTCCATATGTCATGTACATGATATCAAAATTGGCAGATTGAAAATGTGTACTCATAAATTTAAAAAATGGATCCAAATACCTTTAATTCACATGATTAAAAATGGTTCAATTTAAATTGTGTAAACAGATGAAAGTAAAGATGTCCTTAAAATTAAACTTAACTCACAGTCTCTGTAGGTGGTCAAAGAACTACCAAAGTGTTGCTATCTATAAAATTTCTAATACCCGTTGTTTCTAGGACTTTTTTTCAATATGGAAGAAATGGCTAATACTGTTCAATACCTTGTCTGATATCTTGGTAAAAATAAGTAAAATAGATTTGACATGGGATTACTCAAAAATGTGTTTGTTAGTCATCTGATTAATTCACAAGGTTAAAATGCTGTTAAATATACCATGAAGTGCTCTCAACACCTTGAATTCCATTGGGTAACATTATTGATGTTTTCATAAATTGGTAATGAAAAGAAAGTGTTTAAAGTTGCTTTGTCATCACTGGAAAAAGGTTACTAAAATTTTAAAGTCTCAACAGGTATAATTCTATATACTTGAACATTGTGTTTTCATGAAATGGTAAATAGATGTGATTCTATAAACAAAGGTTTATAGGAGATTTCTATATACAAATGCCCAAACGTTTCAACTATTCCAATTAAGAGTACTGTAAATAACATAAAATATTTCTTTTGATTAAAATGAAAAAAAATTTATCTAAATTCAGAAATTTACAAGGATTGTTTCAAAATGTGAACAGAAAAGAGGATTAACAGATGGGAAAGAGAAATTAGAAGGTTCTAGGTATGGAAACCATATTCAATAGAAGGAAAAGAAAGTGTTTCTGGATAAGTAAGTATTTATGTGATGAAGTAAATAAGAGGGTTTAAATAAGTGATAAAGAAGATCTTTGTAAGTTGGTTATATATGTATATAAAACAAGCAATAAAAGATATTTAAGGTTTTTCCCCCCTAAGGTCAAATGCTAATGTACTGATATAAACCAAAGCTTAATTTATGTGTTAAAAGGATAAGGATTTCTTAAAACATTAATTTACCCATAACATTGTGTTTATTAAGGTTTGTTTTTTTGAGCAAGTAATCTTGAAGGAATTAAGAAGTATACAACTGTGGTTAAACAACTGTTATTTTGTAATATTGTAATGTTATTTCTTTAAGAGAGCTAAACTGGATTGATATAAAAACATCAATGTATTTATGGTGCTATTACTCTTCTTTGTATATTAAATGCATTTATATCTTCCAGGTAAACAAGTCTTTAAGGTAGAAGCTTTAAAAGAGCATTATATCAAGCTGGTGTTCTCCAAACTAAAGATGTATGGTAATTTTAGGCTTATGAGGATAACAAATTTTATTGGAGATTTATTTATATCACTTAATGTTCTATAACTGGACCTATTATCGATAGCATATATAAAGTTTTATGTTACTTTTTACACTGGGGTACAATTTAAATGTATTTTTAAGTTAATGAGAGCCTAATCTATGTAAAGGTTAATATTGCAAAACATAAAAGCATTTTGCTACTTTTCCACAAAAATGTTAAAAGTTCTCAGCCTTTCTTTAATTCGTGTTTTAAATGTCATATTAAATATTATATTGTGTTACTAATATTCATGTGAACTCAAGCAACAATATACATAAACTCTGTAAAATGATATTTAAGAAACAAAGAGCAGCTTCAGAACCAGAACACTATACCTAAGATTTATAAAGAGCCCCACCTTACTGAGATAAGTAAGGTGCCTCCCATCTTAAACTACATGTCAGAATGACTCCAAAGTAGGCCAGACTTCAGTTCATTTAATGTTATGTTCAAAAGATTGATTTTTGTTGTTAAGATTACTGGGATCTCAAACAGGGGATATAATATATTACTCAGCCAAAATTCAAGATTACACAAGTTATTGCACAACTAAATATAGTTTTCCTCTTGTTAATTTTATTTTGTATTTTCCTTACAAACTGTCTAAATGTTGCCTGTTAAAGTTTTACAAAGGTATTGCCTTAAGAACACACAACCTGGGTTAATTTAAGATAATAAGCCATCACCTACAGGACAGATAGGATAATACAGACCCAAATTAATAGAAGGGGTAAATAACTGTAAGGTTATAGACTAAAATTAAAGCCCAATACTCTTAATTTTTAAGACTGGTGAGACTGATTTATTAGATGTTTAAGATCAAGACTTAAAAATTAAAGTTAAATTAGAAGGGCCAAGAAAAACCAATGTTTGGCTCCTGCCCTCCGAGTCAGTCCGAATCCAGGGAAGAGGGAACTTCTCTAAAGAGCTTTGCAACTCTGGGCCACATAACCTTCTGATCGGGGAGATTAATGAGATCCCTGGAGCAACAGAAAGCCAATCAGTGCACTTGCTATGAAGAGGGTCATTGGAGAAGGGAGACATCCCTGATGCTTCCAAGAGAAGTCACATCGTCAGCAAGACCTGGACCCATCCTAGCGCAAATGGCACTAGCAGAACTAAGAAGCTTCTCTCAAGTCCCCCAGGAATGACTCCCATGGGAACTCAGCTGACTCTTAACAATAGATAGAAACAAAGTCAATTTTAACCAGCTTGATCTTAAACACCTAGCAAAAGCAGTTAAACACAGTCATTTCTGGGCATTGAAAAAAAAAAAAGAAAGAATAATTAAATATAACTTAAGACATACACTTGTGTTAGCCCCCAAGAAGAGGTAAGACTGGAGGATAGAAAAGAGAGATTCTTAGGCAAGAGTGTCTGATAAGGATCAAGAGAAACTGCCAAAGCAAGAGTTTTTAGTTAATTTAAGGCCTACGAACATTAAAAATTAACGGTTGTGTTTACATTCCTGATAACTCTGGCTATGTTAAAGATTTATATTCCCAAATAAAGGCCTTGTCCTCTCCAACCTTGTTATGGGGACAACTTCTCAGCCCTCACACCTCCTGGCAAGAGATTATTGGTTTCTCTCATTTAATAGCATGTCTTCTGGCCTAAACAGCTCATCGGGAAGTCCCTACTCATAAGAGCCCTCAACACAAATGGACTATTCAACAGGACCTTGAACGTTGGAAACACAGCTCTCCTCTGTTGGAGGATAGCAGCTAAGTAGCCCCCTTCTTCAGTGGGCACTTCCTAACCTGACCCCTGGTGATAGGCCTTTTACTAATGCTTGCCCCCTGCATCATTAGATTTGTTCAAGACCAGATTCAAAAATCTCTAACCAAACCATTAACCAGCTTCTCTTACAGGACTACCAACCCCTCACCAAAACCGGGCCGTCCAGAGTCAGCATCACCACCACTTCCCAACCCTCACCATTACCTCAATGACATCCCATGCCCCTAACAAGGGTCCAGACACTGCCCCTTCCCAGCAGGAAGAAGCTACAGAAGATTGATCTATGCCCCTGTCCCTTAAGGGGCCCAATAACAAACAAAAAAGGGAGGAATATAAGGTCTTGATTTTACATTCGTGCAGCCATCTTAAATGTTAACCACCATCTTATGAGGTAAGTTTCTCTTTCCTGTACTTCCTCTTACTGGAACTCCCCCCACCCCCGTTAGTGACCTATGACCTACCCCGTGGTACCATAACCCTAAGCCAATCCCAGAAGGACACGACCCCTTTGCTCTGGAAAGCCCCATGGTGCCATCAACCTAAGCCAATCCCATGCTATTCCCCACCATCCTAGCTCTGATGCAAGCACACCCAGCCTATTCCACAGCACCACAACTACAACTCCAAACCCCACCCCACAAAAGCTGGACACCCGAACATCTGGGAGCCTCTCTCTCCTATAGAGAGATGGCTTTTATTTGTCAACTCTGACAAATAAACTTTTTTATGGATCTCTGCCTGTTCTTCGTCCTTCATTTCTTGCTGGCTCATCTCTTGCTTTCTCACTTTCCTTTCAGACATAATGCCTTTATTTTATTCATTCATTCATTCATTTATTTGTTTGTTTATTTTAGGCACTGAGGATTGAATCCAGTGCCTCACACGTGCTGGGCAAGCGCTCTACCACTGAGCTACAGCCCCAGCCCTTGATTGGTTTTGATATTTCAGTTTTCCCTCAGTGGGCACAGGCCACCGGATTATGCAGTTGCTTTATGGATTATGCAGTTGCTTTCTGTGAAATGGAAACTTCTACTTTCTGAGAAACAGAAACTGTTTTACAATCTGTGGGGCATGTTAAAATTAGGTCCCACATGCTTGCCCTTTTGTGGACCCTACTCTTGACTGCCTATCCTTTTCTATCTCAAAATGATGACAAGTGATTCCATTCAAAATAATAGATGAAGGGTAGAGACAAAGAGGGAGGAGGAAGAGGAGAAAGAGAAAAGAAATCCTGCCTGCCACTCTGTGGGCACCTCTCTGAACCTGCCACAAATTGTAAGGGGGCTCTTGGGCCCCATCTCATAATCTCTCTGCACTAAGAGATGGCCTCCGGATGGCTTCTCAGCAGTCTCCTTCCTTTCTTTTCTACCACAGCTTTCTGCCTTCTCTGTGAATCGTCCTTCCTTTTCTAGGATGTAGGCACATTTTCTCTCCTGGTCCTGGAGTGAGACAAGAGGGACAGGGTCCCTTCAGCCCCTTCTGGCTGGAGTTTCCCAACAGTCTCAGAAGTGACTTTGGGTGTGTGGGGGACATAGACACTTGAGGAAGGAGGAAGCAGGCACTAAGAACAGAGGGAGTGGGGCAGCCAAAAGAAGGGAGAAGTGGGTGTTTATGTTTATGCTGATTTAGGTCCCAGACACTGTAGCCTTGCATAGGGCATCCCATCAGTTGAAAAAAGATAGTCACTCTTTTGTTTGTCTAAATCCACCTCCACCCTCAAATCCTTATTTTTGGTAACAACATTTGCACACAGGCTTTGCTCTGGAGAATTGCCTTTCCCCAGTCTAAGCGATTCTGAGTGGGTGGGGTATTGCAGAAATAAGATTGATAAGGGTTGAAGCTAGATGTTGCATCCTTGGGGGTTTATTATACTAATCTGCCTACCTTGTATATACAGGCAGTCCTCCATTTGCATGGTTCTAACATGCGTGGATTTCAGTTGCCATGGTTTAGTTAAATAACGCAGCCACCCTAGAACAACTGGACTTTCAGTTCCCATAGTATATTAACTGAGCTATTGCACCAAGTACAAGCTATGCTGCAGGCTCTTCAGTCCACAAATCATTGCATAAGTAACAGATGCACATCATTATCCGTGCTCAGTCACATCACTTTTTCCAAAGCCTGTCAGTGAGGGATTGGTCATTGCCTGTCTGTCCAGTTCACATCCAGACAGGAAGTGTGTTGTGTTGCTCCCTGGTCTCCTCATGATAGGCAAACATGGAGAATGAAGAGAGGGAATTGCCCACTCCCAAATGAAAATGCATCAAAGAAAAGAAAAGTTATTAGAAGTGAAATATAAGCCAAATGTATATGACTGTGGGAACATGGACACTCACTATTCAAGACTCTATATGCTCCTAGTGGCTCAGGAGGCTGAAGCAGGAAGATCACAAGTTCAAAGCCAGCCTCAGCAATTTAGCAAGGCCCTGTCTCAAAACAAAAATAAATAAATTAATTAAAAGGGCTGGGGATGTGGCTTGCAGATAAAACACCCCTGAGTTCAATCCAATCCCTCAGTACCAAAAAAAATAAAAATTAAAAATTAAAAAAAAATAGACTCTATATGCGTAGCCAGAGGAACTCAGAAGGCAGCAGATTGCTTCACTGGGGAAAGTGGTTTTATGAAAAGGTCCTGGAGGAAGAAACTTCACATTAGAGGCACTTTTGGTGATGTTTCTCTGCATTGAATGTACAACAGATAAAATATTGGCAGCTGATCCAACCTTAAGAGTACAATTCAACAAGGCACAAAAAAGACGCTTGCTCCATATCATAGGTGAGCAAGAAGGCAAGCACAGGGGCAACTACTCCGAATAATTTTTTTTTCTTCTTTAATAAAAACATACATTTTATTTCCAATATTTCTAATATTTTAAATTATAGCATGCTACATAAATATTGGTTTTACTATTATTTTCATTTCCCTACATATCTACAAACAGCATTAAAGGATATTTTATATTTTGACAATTCTTTCTGTTTGCTTGTTTTTTCCCCATGGAAAATCAAACCCATGATCTTGTGCATAACAAGAATCACAAAAAAAAAGTTAATTTACCTCATTGATTATTAAGATTGCTTTTCATAGTTTCAGCTTGCATGGTTCTTTTCAAAGTCTCACAGTACCTAGAAAGTGAAGACTGGCAGTATTTGGAATTTTTCAATACTAAATAGTCCCCCCTCCCTAAATCCCATTCAACCCCTTCTTAACAAGAATTATTTAATCTTTCTGTGCTTCAGTGGCCTCATTTGTCAAGTGAAGATAATAATTGCACCCTCTGCACTTGTGAAGATTTAACAAGTTAAGACCTGTCAAGTACTTAGCAGCATGAATGATATAGAGAAAGCATTTAATGAATATTGGCTGCTATTATATTTACAGATCTGAACCAGAAGGAAGTAACATATTCCAAGGAGTCAAAGAGGATCAGGGTGTTGGTATAGTGATCACCACCCCACTGCCACCATTCACGCCTTGAAGCTATTCCAATTTGTATACGTCCCTAAAAGTCTGCCTTGAGGACCACACAGTCCAGCACATATTTCAGCACTGCTCATTTTACCTAGGAGTAAAATGACATCCACTTCCTGTTGATGTCAATCAGTGTTTCTCAATCCTCCTCCTCCTCCTCCTCCTCCTCCTCCCCCCCTCCTCCCCCTCCTCCTCCTCCTCCTCCTCCACCTCTTTCTTCTTCTTCTTTTTAATTAGCACCCCCTACTCCAAGGCACCTAGTTAGATGTTTTCTCCTAACCACATCCCCAATAAAATTTTAATTCTATCTATCTATCTATCTATCTATCTATCTATCTATCTATCTATCATCTATCTTTGCTGTGATTCTGCTCACATTCTCTATGCATATTTGTGTTTTATGCATAAAAACAGTCAAATTCTTCCCCAACCAATTTTTGGCCCTCTTGGCAGCGGGGGATATAATTGCCATGGAGAATCATGCTGTAGATGAAAATGTAGCAGACACACTGATTGCCTCTCCGATGTCCTTAGGACCAAGACTTTCATCTCCCCACTTCCTACCTACACCCCACTCCCAGCCCACTGCTTTCTCCTTTCTAAGAGAAACCTGATTCTGTTGTTGTTACTCATCCACTGTCTTCCACATGGTCTTGCACTTTGCTAAATCAATTAGGTAATCCCATTCCCTTTGCTTGTGATTGATTAGGAATGGGTGTGTAACACAATTCTGGCCAGTAAGATATGAGGGCAGATCATCCAGACGGCTTTGGGGAAAGGTTTATTCACGAAGGAGAAAAGAACACAGTGCAGGGATGGCTTAGCTTTTCCCTGTGGATGTCGTTAGTTCTTGATGTCTTGCCTTGAACTCTGGAAGCTGTCTTCTGTCCATCAGGAGAGTCAGCTTAAGGGCCCAAATGACATGCTGAACGTGCAGAGTGGATGGAAATAACCAGGGTTCTTGATGACACAGGAGTAATGGAATTAATCAGCCCTGGAGCTGCCCACCTTGGGCACCCACCTGCCCACCTTCTTGTTACATGAAGTGATACTTTTCCTTTTGCTTTGGCTTGCTGAGTCAGCGTTTGCTGATACTTGTAGCCAAAAGGATCCCAAGGTGATAAAGGGGTGGGGAGTCAGCTTTGTACAACAAAAGAATTTTGAGCAAATATATTAGTAGAAAGTCACTTAAACTGAGGATTGCTGCATTTTGGAGATAAAGACTGGGAACACATTTTATTCTGTTCCTGAATAACCTTGTCCACTATTACCACAAATCCAACCTATTTCCTACTTCTCTTATATTACCACTGCTTGTTGGACGGTGCTCTGTTGCCCAGTGAAAGTTCATGTTGTTCCCTTAGCCTAGAATGTATCTCTATTTCTGTGTCTCTCAAAAATGCATACATTCAGGGCGCAGCTCCTTAATCCCTGAAGTGCTATAAACAACCTTCTTCTGTAGTCACCCACAGTGCTTTATATCTCACATATTGCTTTTTCTTTATGAGTAAACAACAACCCTGTCTTCCTCACTAAACTAGAAGCTCATACGAATTAGAAGATGGCATGCATCCTTGCTGCCATTTCACTCAGGTATTTACTCTCTGGCCTTTTAGCTTTGGGGAAAGATGTCTCTATCCCTTACCCAGATCCAGAGGAGTTTTTTATGGTGTAGATGTAATCCCATGCTGCTTGCCAAGGCAATAGGCTTATACCTGTGTTTCTGAATCAATTGATGAATTTCTCTGGACACAGGAATTGGGTCTCAAAAGGATCATAGGACCCAGTGTATTAGTCTATCCTCTGGGGCTATTACAAAATACCGGAGGCTTGGTAAGCATAAAGAAAAGAGGTTTTTTTTTAGTTCACAGTTCTGGAATCCAAGAGCATGGTGTTGGCTTCTGCTCAGGTCTGGGGTTGGGGAGCGCCTGGCTGTATCACAACATGGTGGATGGTATCATGGCAGGACTCATAAGAATAAATACATGAGACAGGAGGCCAGAGCATGGAGAAGGCATGTCTTGCTTTTTTTTTTTTTTTTAAACAACCCACTCTCATGGGAACTAATCAGAGCCCTATAAACATTAATCCCTTCCTAGGTTGATACCTCCAATGACCTAACCACCTTCCACTAGGCCCTACCCCTTAAAGGTTCCGCCACTTCTTAATACCATCACACTAGGCCTCCAG